TCAAACTATTGAAATTATATTTATTATACCCCACTCTACAGGATAATAAGAAAATGCGCTACACAAATCTTATAATAAGTCTTATCCACTAAAGCATCATTACACTACGACAAATGTGATATTTAGCTACAAAATTATTAGGTTCAACAAAAAAAATCGTCACAAATTATTCACCTTTTGTGACAAAAAATTCGTTACGTGCTTAAATGCATGAGAAACATACTTTTCGTGAAGAAACTATGATTTGTAGCTAAATTTTGTCCACTAAAACTTCTCAAAATAAAATAATTTGTGTTGTTTATTATGTCATTAGAGATTAATTTTAAGTTATTAGTGACACATAATATTGTCGCTAATAATGCCTTCAATTTATAACAAATTATTATATGTATTAAAATTTAGTTACGTTTTCGCAAAAAATGAGTAGTTACAAAATTGAAAAATTATATTTTGTAATAAAGATTCTAAGCTTTAATCACAAAATTTTATACTTATTTCTGAATTTTGTATTAGTCACTAATAATATATGTAACAAACGATAACTTAGTTTTTGTTGCTAGTAATATAAGCAAATAATGACAATCATTTTCTTGTCTCTAATTAACTTGCTATTTAGTGACAATATACTTTGGTCACAAAATACGCAATGTCTATCTATTTTCAAATTTGTAGTCGGGCGATTTAAATATTTTCTACCAAGAAAATCTTAGCTAAAAACAAAATTTTATTTGTCTATGCCTGTTTATGATTACAAGTGATGTTGTCCCAGTTTCAACCAACTCAACCTATTTGATATTTTTTTAATTGAGTACTAGTTTTGGGTCAAAATCTTATAAATGAACTACTAACGGACTGGGTTTGAGGTACCAAAGATGTTGTTCGGCCTATTCCATTACTCGCCTAAATCTAGGAGTCAGGTTACTAAAACAAGAAGAGATTTAGTCATGAGCTTCAAATGAGACTTGTTCATGGACTCGTCATGGTGTGTCACTAACTTTTTTCAAAAGTTAACTTCTCCGACTTGAATTAAATTTTAAATTTAAAAATTGAGCTCTAATCATGTAATTTAGTATTATCAATTAAACATTGAAATAAAAATTAATTTTTTTTTTTAAAAAAAAGTATCTTCATGTTATTCTTTTCAGATTGACTTTTACAATAACATAATGTATTCATATGTATAAAATTTAAACTACGCATATAATATTTGTAGCTATTACTTAGTAATAGTAAGGAAAATCAAATTGACAAAATATATTTTTCATTTTTGTTTACAATTAATAATAATCACGACAATAATTTTCAAAATAAATACATCTTTATTCCTATAAAAATTTGAAGGTGATCATATGTTTTTGCCACACGATAAAATTGTTGCAGAAATCACGTGACAATAAACTATTTGAAAAAAATATAATAGCTTAATAAATATTTTTCTAGAAATTATAAATAGTTTGATAATAGTTTAGTGATACAGCCACAAGTTTTCTTCTATAATAAAATTTCACGAATATTTTTCGCAAGAAATTCAACTTAGCGTAGAACATAATTATAACACCTCATATCCTAAAATAGACTGAACCAACAAATTTCCAGAACTTGCAGGTGCAACTCAGGATTGCCACCCACATACCATAGGCTGGCTCACAGACCATCCTAATGGTTCGTGGATTTCCACCTGTAGCCCTCCCCCAGAACTTATCCTCTGAAGTTGATCAACAACAAACTGACATGAAAAACTGAGGACCAGTATACAAACTATCGATAAGTCTATAGGTCAAGACCCTCACGACCCCTCACAACCCATCCTTTAAAGTTGATCGACGGACTTAGAGGACAGATCGTGGATCAATTTAAGGAACAGTCCATCAGTCAATTAGTTGAGACCCTTAGGACCCCCCCCCCACCCAGAACCCATCCTCTGAAATTAATCGACTGACTGACAAGACGGATCGTGGATCGGTCCATGGACCGTAGATCAGTCCTGTTGATGGCTTTAGCAGATTTTAAGTCAGTGATCATTTGTTCCTTTCCTCATGTGTTTGACCCCTAAACTATATCGTTTAACCCCTAAATTACGTAATTTTGATTAGTTTTAGCCTAGTAAACTAATTACAAACTATCATAATAAATTATTCATCCAAAATCATCAAGCATAGAGAAAAATAAAGGAGAAAGTCGAGCAGCCATAGTTCAAGAACGCATCGAGATCTTATCAGTTCCAGCCTCAAAGTCGAAAGATTTCTCCGTAAATTTCTTTACTATGTATGTGTTATTTCACGAGTGGGTTCCTTTCACCCATTTAATCCATAGATTTCAGTCAGAATCTGGATTCCTTTAATATTATCTAGAACTTGAGTTTCTTGAATGTTATGAATTGTTGGGGTTTTATCTATTAGAATTATCCAAATTAGATAGTCATATATGTTGCTTAGTTTCTTGTAGGATATTCAGAACCTTAGCTATGTATTTATTTTAGTTCATGAATTATACATTCTAGGTCATTTATTTCACACACAAACACACACGTGCGTGTGTGCGCGCGTGTGCGCTTCAATCACGAATGTCACATTATTCCTTATAATTGTTGCATTATCAGGTTTTGCATGTCATTAGTTGAGTTATCCAATATTTTAGTATTTCAATCATAGATTACTAATTACACAATCAATTGGAAGTAGCTTAATACTGAGTGAACTAGAGTCACTCACCCTCAAGTACCAAAACTAAGGACCCTGTAGGTTAAGCCTCATCTGCTGGGCATTGCATTTTAGTGATCACGCCACTCATGTCTCTATGCCTATGGCATGTTATATTGATTCCTCTTGAAGGGGCCTATACATCAAACACCAAATTTAACTCATTTTGTATTATGTCGGTTATTAGTATCTCCTACAGTCCAATGAGATTTTTTTTGCTACATCTTCCAATGATGTAGGTTTCAAGTTATGATCTTCCCTTTCATGAATAGATCGATTTCCAATCTTAAGCTCAGCAGCATTAGTGGTGAGTTATCATTCAGCGAGGACAACAAACATGTTTCTTTTGCTTTTATTCTTATTTTTAGTTTTGTCTGGATTTAGTTGGAGTATTTGCAGCACTTCTAGTAAGTTAGAGTCTATTTTGAGACATATTTAGTTTCAACTTGAGCATTTGAGTTTGACTTTTTAGTTGTTGTTAAACTCTCAGTTTTCATATATTCTGATAGTTTATGGGTATTCCCCATCATTTCATTTGATTTATTTTCCTCACTGTATTTCTTTACTTTAGTTTATTTAGTACGCTAATGATATTTTAGCAGGATTAGCTTGGGGTCACTCGTGAATCTATGTCCCGTGTTCGCATCGTAGGTGTAGCTTCAGAGCGTGACAATAATAGTTTGGCAACGATAAATTAATTCAAAAAAAATGAGTTTGGTGATTATATCTAGTGTAATAATAATTTTATAGTGTAACTAGGGTTTGAACCATTCAATTCGATTCAATTTTATTTGCCTACTTATACATTATCTAATTTTAATAAATAGGTTATTATACATAATTATTTGAATTATGTAATTTTATCGAACATGATCTATTGAATTTATATTTTTTTAATCAATTTGGTGTAGTAAGAAGTGTTTACTACTATTATTTAACTTAATTTACGAGGATTATCCATTCAAATATAATCTAAATAAAGAAAAAATGTTAAAGAATTACGTTTGATTAAGTAATTATATCGAATAGAGAAAAATAATTATGAAGTCTCACCCCGGCATCAATGCATGATGAAATGTTTTGGCCAATCATGTTATTTGACTCGAACATGATCTATTGGAATGATTGTTTTTATCCACTTGGTGTAATTACAGATGTTCATCATTTGAGTCAACTCAATTTAATAGCATTTCGCTATGTCTCATTCAAATATTAACCTAATTATATGTTTTAAGAATTATTATTATACTCGAAACATAATTAATTCAAATAATATTTTTTCGGATCTTCTATTATTAATCATTATAATTAGTTGAGCTAAGGATTAATAATAAATATAGAAATGTATCGATACCATTCTTTATACATGATACATATTGACTTTAAAACATTTAGAGTGTATTTGGTATGAAGGAAAACATTTTCTGAAAAATATTTTCCAATTTTCTAATGTTTGGTTGGGGCAAAAATTTTGGAAAATATTTTTCCAAATTAACTCATTTTCCTCAAAATTAAGGAAAATGGCTTCCCTTCAAAAATTAAGGAAAACATTTTCCAAATCTTCTCCAATTTCAAATTAATTTTTTTTTGGAAAAACATCAATTTTCTAAAAAATAGAAATATTTTCAATTTTAAAATTTTATTTTTTCACCTGATCTCTCACCACCCTCACCCCCGCCCCCCGCCCCCACCCCCACCCCCACCCCCTCCCTACAAAATTATTTTTGCTTTTTAATAATTTTTTCAACTTCAAATTTTTATTTTTAAACTCCTATCTCCCCCCCGGCCAGCCCCCCTACCAGCCCCCCACCCCCACCCCCAACCCCCCAAAAAATTAATTTTGCTTTTTATAAATACTATCAATTTCAAATTTTTATTTTTTCACTCCTACCCCCTCCTCCTGCCTCCCCTCACTACCCCTACCCCCACCACCCCACCCCAAAAAAAATTATTTTTAAAAAATATTTTTACTTTCATAAATTATTTTCTACTCTAGTAAAAATAAAAGATGTTCCTCAAAAATAAATTTTATTCATAAATCAAACACTAAAAATCATTTTCGAAAAATATTTTCTACTCACCAACCAAACATGAGAAAATAAGTCCAATATCTACTTGTTTTCCGGGAAAACATTTTCTAGGAAAACATTTTCCTTCATACCAAACACACCCTTAATGATTAATCAGTTATAGAGAAATAAATACCTTTCATTAATATATATATATATTACTACTATTATAGAAAAGGCTTGTTTCAACATGTGTGGTTAATGTCTTTTATTTCAAATCTGAGGGTTTATTTGTCTTTTCACATAGCTTAGTGTTTGTGTGGAGGTGTCTTGAATGGACACATCATTGTTTAGGTGTCCCTTCATCTTCACTTGTTCCATTGTTGTTGTCTGTGCATCAATTCCTCTTGTTAGTGAACAATTGTTCCTCTTCTTTAACTAGGAAGTTTCTTCCATCGTCTACTCAAAAATCTCAATATTCGTTCAGGTAATGAACAATTAAAATTTATTTTTGGCTCAGTTTGATAATCTTGAGAAAAAAATAGATTTAAGTCTGTTGTGGTGTTTTGATTTTTCCACTTTTTTATATTAACAAATATCAGTTTTTGATTTTTCCCATCTCTTTCTGGCTGGTGTGTTGTTATTTTCACATTGTTTTGTTCATTAATTCGATCTGGGTCTCTTCATACTTGTAATTTTTTTTAATTTGAGTTTGTAGTTGATGTTCTATTTTTGCTTTTGCTTAGGAGAAGTTTTGTTGTTTCTTTTTGTCATTCGCCAATGTTGCGTTTCAATGTTTTTTTGTCACATGCAGTAATTAATTATGCCTTCTTTCTGTTCATATGGATTTTTGGTGCAATTAAAGGGGAAAAAATTCAGAACAAATTCGATTCCTAGCGAATCAACTTTTTGGTTAGCTTGGCATTATCAATTAAAGAGTGGTTGGAGTAGGGATGGGCATAAAATCGGAAAGACTGGACCGGGAAGTGATATTAGGTAGTGAGTATCAAAGCCATATCATTATACTCTTTTAGTATATTGAGTAACAAGGTAGATAGCTGATTCTTGGATTGGTAAATGTTATTGGATAGGGAGTAAACTAATGAGTACCTAAGTTTTTACTACTTGAGTGAAGTGTATTCATGTTGCAACTTAATTAGCTGACAATGTCCGTGGCTTGAGTTCCTTTATTAGATTGCTGGTTCCTATTCTTCGTCTTGGACCTGAATGTTTTTTCTAAAACATTTCTATTATAGGTTCCGCCTGATGTCAAAGAAGTCTTGGACACCTTCAAAGTAGAAGCTGAATTAGGAAGCGATTCACTTGGAGCTTATGTTATTTCCATGGCTTCAAATGTATGATCAATATCAATATTCACATAGTGTACTCATAGGTCTACCTTTGGAAGTGGTGGAATGGTTTAGCTAAATCTGCCCAAAGGATATCTGATATCAAGTTTTAGGCTACTTGTTTCCGTTTTCTATTATATACTTACATTTTGATGCATGTTCATTTGGCAGGCCAGTGACTCCTAGCCGTAGAGCTTTTACAGAAGGATGCAGGCCTTGCTGTTGCTGGGGAACTAGGCAGGCCTTGTCCTGGTGGAACGTAAGACTGATATCTCTTTGGTTGCCGATGCAATAATAAAACTTTCTTCATGAACTTGTGCAAAAACTTATGTGCATTTGGATGTCTGGCTGTGCACTAAATTTTCAGAATTAATATGATCTATATTCATGCAGTAGGGCTAATGTTAAGCCAATGAATTGTCTTTTCAGTTTTCATCTTATGCTGGTACTTGTAAAATTTCCATCTCACGGAAGGTGGTAATTTTTCAGTTCTTATTATTTATCTGCATTCAGACAAGTTCACATGCCTACAGGGCAATCTCTTTTCCCCTTTAGATGATTGGATATAATCTTTATGTTCTTCCTTTCTTTCTTACATTGTAGGATTAATCTTTAATGCTATATATTTATGTATACAGATGTGGTTGAGGGATCCCAGATAATGTAATCGACGACACTATCTTAGTGCTTGCTATGTTTCAAATCTATACTTATCATTGGTGGCCCTTATGGGATTTTCCCGGTGATGTGAATTAACTATCTGGTTCTAAGTTTGACAGGGTGTTTGGTAATCTGTTATTTGATGGAAAACTTGATTGATTTTTGGTTGTAAAAATCTTTTATATATGTGAGATTTTAAATCTTATTACAGGATTGAGGTGGTGGTTGTTTTGTTTTTAAATCAATGTAGAAATTTTCTTCTTGAAGAAACTAGAAAGTAGCTTGTTGACGGATGTCTATAGCTCTCTAGTGTTTTGAAATATGCTACTGGCAGGCTTTTATTATTTATAATGAGTCCTCATCTCAAAGAATCTGGCTCAGTGATTAGAAGATTACTATCAATTGATTAGTATAGGGACCACGTTATAACGAACCACAATGGGCATCAGGAGGTATTTATGACATGATGCATTAGGCTATCTAAAAAAGTTTCACTTTTGGGCTTAGCTCATGGTTGGTGTGCACAGGTTATGGTTGGTTATTTTGATTCTGGAAAAGATGCTGGCCGTTTCACTGCTGCATGGGAGCTTTACAAAGCTCAAGAAGATGTTGTAGTTGCATGTAATGAATATGGAATAAAAATAACTCTATTCCATGGACGCGGTGGAAGCATTGGCCGTGGTGGTGGTCCTACATACCTTGCAATTCAATCCTAGCCACCTAGATCTGTTATGGTTAGTTTCCAGTTAAAATGTCTTGAAGTTCCTAATACATGCTATGTACCTGAAGAATTGTTTTAATTATATCATGGGTGTGTTGATTAAGATCAGGTTGTTCATAACCATATTATTCCAGTCACTGCGAGTTATTTTTTTGGTGTTTGTTATCGATAACTTCATGTTGAAGTATTTAGTTATTAACTTTTGTTTAGTTTGAAGAAAAAAATGGACATGTTTACGTTTTTTATTAGCCAAGTGTCTGGTATTGTGGATGAATTGTGAAAAAGTTCATTTGATGATGATGGGGTCCACCTGTTTGATAAAATCAAAGTTATTTGTTGTTGGCATTTTATAATTGTATAGAATCTGGTTGTAAGGCTGTGTAAACGTCATACTCCACTGGTGAGAATAGGTTATATTAGAATTGGGTTGTAACGCTGCGTATAGACTAGACTCTACTTGTGAGCTTACGCCGTTTATGTTTGATAGAAAAAAGACATTCTTGAGATGGTATCAGGCGCAAAGCTAGCAGTTGCAGAATTTGGTAGATTTGTACTATAGGCAGTTGATAAAAATGAAGCATTCTGAAAGGATATGCTAATTTGTTTAACTGGTGTACTTATGCTATTCATATTTCAACATTCTAATTAGGTCGGTTGGTTGTTGATTAGAGTATAGCAGATATTAGTTACGCAGAGATTTGTTATTCGAGGTTTAGATATTCCATCTTCTATACAGCATAAAGTAGTGAATAGATTTCCTTTTAACTTATACGCGTATTAGTTATAATTGAATCTAACTTGCTAACCAAAAGTTGTATTTAGTGTGTTGAATTTTATATATTAGCAAAAAATTACTGCCCCAAATATGGTACAAATATTGCGGTGATTTAATACATGATTGAATCACATTCTAACCAGCAACCAAACATACATATTTTAGTGTTGGTTTTGGTTCTGTTCATTCTTTTAATGAGTGCAGTTGTGCCGGAGAATTTTCACCTCATTTTTTCGTATGTTCTACAAATGAAGAATTGCAATCTTATAGTTACTGTAAACGTCTCAGTTATTTAAGTTGGTCTTCACTATTCTTTCTCCTCCCCCCCCCCCCCCCCTCACCCTCTTTATTTTCTTGTAGTTAAATTATTCTATATCAGTATCCTAAGAGACTTGTTACCTTTGCTTGATGTTAGATATCGATTACTACAAGTACTTCCGCTGGCTTAGAGCAGATCCTGCCATGGATGTTTTATATAAGGTAAAGATATTATATATTTCCATAATTATCAGGGAGCGAAAGTCAAACGTGTATATGTTCATCACCCTATTTTAGAATTCATTGAATTGCCACAAATTTTCTTCCTACCTTTGTTGCTTCCTCTTTGTCTAAGTCTTTTTAATTTCCTATCTGACCACTCACAATATGCTCTCTAATTTATCATGCATAACAAAATTTGACTAGATAATAAAAAATATGGCACAACCTGTGGACATAAGTTTGCTGATTCTTAAACTAAGTTTTTGCTCTTCTTTGCTATCAGAAAAGCCTTAACATCACCTCCCTGCAATGCACTAAGAAGTTTTTTTAATTTATTGCTGAAATTATCAGGGTTCTCTTAGATCTACGGAACAAGGAGAAGTGGTGCAGGCGACATTCAGATTACCCCAAATTGCTGTTCGGCAGCTAGAGATATACACTACAGCTGTTCTACTTGCTACTTTACGTCCCCCACAGCCTCCAAGGGAACAAAAATGTCGTAATCTGATGATGACATATCAAATTTGAGCTGCAGGAGTTATAGAAGCACAGTATATGAAAACCCTGAGTTCCTTACTTACTTCCACGAAGCAACACCTCAGGCTAAGCTAGGATATCTCAACATTGGTAGCCGTCCAACAAGGAGAAAGAGTTCAGGTGGAATCGGTCAACTCTGTGCAATCCCATGGATATTTGCATGGACAAGACAAGTACATCGAAAGAAAAGGGCAAGGTGACACAGGCCTATGGAGATTGTTGAAAAAATTAATGTATGAAAGTTAAATCAAATAACAACACCGTAGGCTAATTGGTGAGTATTTATTACATATAAATTAGAACAAAATATTTACTCATTATATATGGTGACAAGTAAAACATTAGAGATTCGTGTAATGTACAAAGGGGATGCTTTTGCTTTCTGACATATATGTAAAATATGATCCGCTTCTTTATTGCAATGATACCACTTATAATTCAACTAATGTGAAAATCAGATCTTTTATATAATGCACTAATTTTTTTGAAATAATAATCCTTTAATGTTGGGTCGTGCTTTGCACGGCCATGCTCTATCTAGTATATATATATATATAACGGCCATGCTCTATCTAGTATATATATATATAACATGGGTGTGGCGGATTTTGTTGATTACCCAAAATTAGATGACCCATCAGTTAAAAAAAAGTAAATGAATAAAAAATACAAGAAAACCTAAAAGAAGCAGATGTATCTAGAAGGAGATCAAAATTCTCTCTCTTTTAGAATCTAAACTTAAAAGTGAGCTTCTCTTTCGGTCGTCACCGGCCAGATCCTTTATCGTAGCTGGTCATAGACTCCATGGTCGATAGCCATATCCTTTATCTTTTCAGGCATACCTGGTCATTCTCTGAGTTGTAGCCATGGTTGTAAGTTCTTCCCCTTTCATTCTGTTTACTTATTCGAGCTATATATCTCAAGTGAATTCTCTCTGTATGTGTGTTGTTGTGAAGTGTCATGGGTTGATGACTTCTCTTCTTGGATCTCATCACCATAACTCCGATTTTTGTTCATTTATCTTTTACTAATTTTTTCTAATAAATGTTGAAGTAAATTTTTAATTTTAATTTGAGGCATTAGATCATGAAGGAACTTGTTTAAAAGCAGCAACACAATGTCCAACTTATAGAAGATTAATAATTAAAAATTCAAGTTAAAGACCCCACTTGTGGTATGTCATTGTTGTTTCTTTATTTGCTTAGTTCGTTAATGTCTAAGACATGTCACTGTCGAGCTGCGACTAGATATTATTTTTTGAGTAAATTATATATGTCCATTATGAGGAGTAGAAGAAGTATTGTATATTAAACTTGAGAAATTGTTAATAGGATCTTTTAGATTAGAGTGGCAAGGGTTATCCTAGTTTGTTGAAGAGGTAAGTTGTGTAACGCCTTAGCTAATTTTAATGAACAACTTGTTACAGCCCATAAGATATTTAGTGCCAAGTAATCCTGTCCAACATGGTTGTAGTACATAATATTATATAGAGTATTGTACTGTGGATCATAACCTGGGGCTACATTTAGTTATTCTTAGGACACATTTGGCATGTGAGATTGGATAGAAGAGGATATATCATGAATTACCTATTCCATTTTCTATATGGAACAATTTATTCCATATTTTTAGTACATCTCATATGATTGAAATCTCTTATCTCACCAACCTAATGCACACTAAAAAACCCCCCAACATTATATCCCATGAATTTTCTATTCCATAATGCATACTAAATGAGTCTTTATACCTCAGTTACTCAGACATATCTTTTGTTCTCCTCAAAAGCATGTCATTTTTTTGTGATTTTAATGTTCTTATTTAGAGAGGGAAATACAATGAAGTAGATAACCTTGTAAAAATGATTTTTCCAAGGTTCTTTTTTTTTTAGTTTCAGTTAGTATTAGTGTCTAAAACATTAGTGAATCCAATTGTAGAACTTATGGTTGGTTTGCTAGGATTGGTTCTGATCAACTATTTTGTTTCTTCTAGGTGAAAAACACATTGGATGTTGTGATTAGTCACCTCCTATATCTTTTAATCTTGATTCTTTAGTTAGTTACTTTGCATATGCCTTATACATAGCTACAGAGTACATATGGACTTATTAAAAGACACAATAGGCTGAACATTGCTATCAAAATAATAATGAAACATCTTGATATGTCTTTGAAATGAAATGTTATGTGAGATTGATTCATAAGCGTTTCATAGAAAAGATTGACTCATTGAATCATTTTTGTTCTTTTCACCTAAATTAGACAACAATTGTTTCCCTTGTCTATTTTTTTCTAGAGATTTCTGGAAACGAGATAGGGTATACTATTTATACTAAGGTATGTTTTCAAGCATGTATTGACAAAGCAAATTTTACACTCAATCCTCCCATTTTCCTGTCCCTCATAAGCTTCTCCTATTTAACAACATGAAACTTTCTATGTTTGACATTCCCCTCCAGGAGAAATAATTCCTTAGATGCATGTCATGTTAGATTTTAATATAATCTCATTGTTTTGTGGATATTATGTGGATCATTGCAGTATTTCTATTTTTTTAATTTTAATTTGTTCTAGAATAATGTCCATTCATGTTAACTAACAGGATGGGTCAAAGTTGGCATTGTTGAGGCTTATGCACTCTAAAGTAGAAATATTTTTCATAAGTTTGAGCATGCTTTACATTTAATTCTTTAGAGAATAGTTCTTGTTTTATTCAACTTTATTTTCTTGTGGTTCTCACCTTTTCTTTGAAATCGTCTTCGGGTTCACTTGATGTTTTGCTACCTTTGCAGTAATACCAAAACTTTGTGTTAACATAGACAGTGCACATTTATTATTTTAAATTTGAACAATGTTTATTATAAAATAAAACACTACATTCTGGAAATTTGAAGATATCTATGTATCATTTAATAACTGTAATTTTAATAAAATATTAAATTAGTGAAACCTATTTAAATGAAAATGTAAATAGGGTTGCAACTAATTTAATTATCAATAAATGCTTGTGATTAGTGACAATATCTCATCCATAAACGTTTAATTTTTAGAGACGACCTCATTAAAACAATTGTATGTTTGTCATAAATATATGCCCTTTAGTGACAACTGTGATTGTTGTTAATTATTATATTAGATAGTGATAATTTTATTTTTTTGGTAAAATAGATATATTTTTAGTGACGATATGATTCTTATCAACTCCAAAATTGTAAAAAACATAGTTGTCTGTAATTTATACATTTAGGGATAAAAGAATTTGTATGTAAGACACAACTTTTAGTGATGAAATAATGTTTTCTTTTTACGAAATACATATAATATTAGAGACAAATGATGCCGTCACGAATTAAACTAAATATTCAGTGATAAATCAATTTTTCGGCTTTGATGGCTTCTTTAGTGATGAAAACACACAATTACCTACAAAATTTTATAATTTCTTTGACGAACAAGATCGTCATAAATACTTTGCATTTGCGGACAAAAAATATTTCCATAGTTAATAAAATACTATTTGGTGATGAAACACGTAGTTGTCTTTGTATACATTTAGTGACCCATTCATTGAGGAAGAAAGGCAGACAAACGATTTTTGTCATGATGAAATATCAGTTCTAGGCTTGGTTTTCACCCGTAGAGGGTGCTACCCTTCTTCATCCTCTTCTCCTTCATCCTCTACACTTGCATCAGTCGCATCCTCTAGTTACGAGCTCCTTTGCTGGTCATTGATAGAAACTATGTGCTTGGCATCGTTGTTTCACATTTTGGACATTTGTGGATCTAAAAGTTGAAGATATTAGATACCAATTTGGATAATCATATTCCAATCAGAATCAAGTAATAACACGTAGAGATAAAATGATTGAGAGATTCTGCTCAAGATTTGTAACATCTCGAAGAAAAGTATAAACATCTCTCTTTTGTTTTGCAAAACTGTATTGGAATTATTTTGTTACAAAAAGATTAACATACCTAGGGCTCTGATACCAACTTTTTCATGACCCAAACCATCGTGATTGACACCCACATTAAACCGTCCGGTGGGCGAACAATTACTACAACCCAACTAAAATGATACTAACCAAAAGATAAGACTAAAAGATGTCGAAAAGTATTTCAATAATCAATTAAATTCCTAGTTCCCATAAATTCAGTAATTCACTAAAAACAAACATAACCAAGCGAAAATGATGTAGAGAGTTTATAAGGTTTACGTTTACGTCCGAATGAAATGGACTAAGATCCAGATGAGTCCATAGTAGCCTGAACGAACTAGCTCAACCTTGAACTCGACAAGTCAGAGATCTCCCAAAAAACCGTCAGAATATTCCTTAAAGGTAAATGCATATAATTTTGAGTAAATATTGGGTCTTTGATCCCTTTCTCTAAAATAAGAGCTTTAAATCCCAAATTTTTACCATTAAAGTCATTTTAAAAGGACTCAAAAATCCACTCGAGAAGAAATTATTTTAAATAAGTCATATAGGAATTAAGATTCTTTACTCAATAAGCAAAAAACTTCAAATCTAAAACTAACCAAAACACACATTAATAGTACTAATGAGAAATAATTAACAAAAGAAATCTTTGAGAAATGAATACAAAAAATACACTTAGAAAAATAAAATCCGTGTTTAGCCTTATATATGTATGCCATGATCTATTTTTTAAAAATATATGTACTTATAAACTTATGGTTAAGATTGCAAAAAATTTTAACTTCTAAAAAATAATGATTTAGGTATTGTAACAACTTAAAGTCCTAAAAACACTAACAAATCAAAACGAACATGAAAAAATTATATGTACTAATAATATTAGGCTTTAGGCTTAAAAATATATAATTATACAATATAATTTAGATCCTCTTACTTCAATACCAAAGAAAACCAATAAAGTGAACTTACGTATATTAAATATATTGTCATATAATATCAAATTTGAACTTTGGTTTTAATTCTGAATCTATATCAGATTAAACATATTGAATGCTTCAAGTTTTTGAAATAGCTTGAGGAAACAATTGTCATTCAACACTTTATTCAAAATGTCTTTTGGAATTAAAACATTTCTAATTCTAGTCTGACATATAAATACTTTGTTTCCCAAAATTCCCGTATACCATATTTTCCCTCTCTCTCTCTCTATATATATATCATAGGTAGGAGAAATCCATTGATCCTTTGTTTGTTTCTTTAAGATGTTATCTATTCACAGCAATGGCTTCTTCACTCTATCGTATTCTCCTTCTCAAATTCGGTAATTTAGTTTTCTTCTTTCGAACTATCTTATGGAGATCTTGATGTTTTCGTTTTTATTAGATACTTTGATATGTTTTACTTTAGGCTTGGGTGAACACCACCCTTTTCAGACTTCTTTGGATATGTTGTTGTTGTTAAAACAGTTAAATTTTGCGAAAGTTAATATTTTTCTATAACCATGTAGTGCATAATCTTTTTTTGAATTGAGAGTTTTTCAGAATTAGTCTTTATATCTCAAAGTAGGAGAATTAATATTTTTTTGATCCAGAGACGCTTTTGTCAAAAATCTTTTACAAAAAGTAATTTTGTGGAAAAATAATTTGTGGTGTATGTTATTTCTGGTCAAACATGACAAATGTAAAAAGTAGCGCCTTTTCGGTGCTAGCTTATAGCCTCCAATAATCGACGTATATTTTAATACTTTTTTTGTTTCATTTTAAGTTGAAGTGCATATTGCGTTTCTTTATTCTAGATGACAAACGTTAGAAGCTTCCATTTTCGTGCTTAATTCAGTAACTTTTAGTGATCTTCCATGTTTTGTTGTTTTGGTGACACTAAAGTTTTTCTTATTTTGCAAGACGGATTTTGAGCATATGTGTATCAGCACAATCACAACCTCTCTGATGAGTGAAATCTAGTTATGATGTAACGACTTTGGAAGGACATACATCTAAGGTTTGACCGCATCATTATAAATTTCTCCTAATCTGACAAAATTTCTTTATAGCAAAAATGATAAATATCATACCTTTTTTGTATTCTATATTAACATTACATTTTTTTTGTTTTTCCGGGTTTTTGATTGTGCTTGGAGTCCAAAAGGGTCTTTTCTTGCAATTGGGTAAGCATTACTCCCAGTTTTTCATTTTATTGATCTCGACTATGTGTACTCATGTTCATATCCCTACTTTTGTTTCTAATTATCTTGTAATTTATTAACCTTGGAAATGACAATCTTTATAACCGCTATTTTATAGATGTTGTCTGTAGATTTAGACTCGTCTATGAAATCTTATCTCTTATAGCTAATCATGTGTTATATCGATTTAGGTCTGAATATTCTACTACTAGAACTTTGTCTATTAGAGATGGTCCATGTAACTCTACTATGCAAAGTTGAAAATTGTGAAAAACAAAAATGTTACGACACTTAATTGAAATCTAAGTTTTCTACTGCCTTATTTTGGCTGACTTTCGTTGATATTTACTTTTATGTGGGGAGGTATGGCGAATGGATGCAACAATTTGAATTTCATTCAAGTGTTTTGTTTCTCTTGTTTTGTCTTAATTTCATAGGTTGGTATACATTGTCACCACTAGTAAATGGTCTTGCGCTGCAAGCGGGTAGAACATTCTTCTTTAAATTTATTAGAATAAAACTTTTCTTGTATTTTGATGTGATAGTATTTTAATATGAATTTATTTTTTAAAGAATAGAGGCTATTAAATTGTACTTCACAATTTATTTTATTTAAAGAAACGGAAAAATAACAAATCATAACACTATTTTCTCATAGTTTACATGATTTCAATCTAGACATTCATTAATTTGCTTTTGAAATTTTAGAACGGTTAGTTTATTTTTATCATCTATATGCATGGTTACATAGTATCTTTAATAAGAAAGTCAAATAAATATTTTTTCAATTTTCTTCTTTACCAATTTCGTTAGTATCATCTATATGCATGGTTACATATTTTTTTTCAATTTTCTTATTTAATAATTTCTCGTGTGTGTGTGTGTGTTTGTGTATGTGTAACTAATTGAAACAATTTTACTCATAGGTGTAATGATACAAAAACAATAAATTTACCGAGCCACTCAACAAGAGCAAAATACACAAATATATAACTATGTAAAAGAAAAACAAAGAGTTCAGAATTTTTATTGTTTTAAATTAGAGAAAACTCCTCTTTGGAACAAATGCTTACAGTGCCTTAACACAAAGGTCACAACTCTTTAAAAAGGTCACAACCTTTGATAAATGCTACAACATTTCATAAAAGTCGCAACTCTTCATAAAAGTTACAACGTTCATGAATGGTCACAAATGCTTATTGTGCCTTACCGGAAAGGTCACAACTCTTGATAAAGGTCCCAACCTTTCATAAATATTACATAATTTCATAAAATCCACAACTCTTCATTAAAGTCACTTTTCATAAAAGGTGTAATTTTTCTTGAAATGTCACAAATGCTTATTGTGCTTTACTGGAAAGGCCATAACTTTTTGGAAAAGTCACAACACTTTAAAAATGTCACAACCTTTCATAAATGTTACAGCAATTCATAAAAGTCACAACTTTCCATTAAAGGTAAAGACTAAATTCTGAAATAAATAAATTAAAAGGAAATCCTTGTTTGTGGTGGCTCCACATAAACGGGCCTAGGGTTCTCTTTTGTATATACAACCCCATCAGGTCCATTACATGATGTTGATCAGCGAAACAATAATGCCTTTTCTACCAGCTCCAGTGATGGCATAATCTGCATTTGTGATGTTGGTGAGCGTACACAAGTCAAAACATTTAGGACATCATGTGTGCTCCACTGATGGTATTATATACATTTTCTCTTCATCTCTTTGATGTATTACACATTAACCAGATGATGTTCTAAATAATTCATTGGTTGCGCAAAGTTCAAATACTAGTTCAACATTGAATATGTGCTTGATTGTAACACTTAAGAGTCGTTGTCTTTGCCATTCCAGAATGAAATCAATGCTCGTGAGTGGTACCCCTCAGATTCCCTGTCGGCTTCATGCTTTGAAGATAACATAGTTCAGGTAATTCTATCCTAACCTTCTAAAGCAAGAAGGTAGAGGAGACTCTTGCCACTTGTTTCAGATAACTTCTTATGGTCTTTTAAATATGATTAAATATCTATTTACATTCTGAAGTTAAGTATTTGTTGTGTTATTGCATCTTAGCTTCACCTTTTTGTGTGCTATGACTTTGAATATCTATTGTGCTGTTTAAAATAAACTGGTCAATAATTCATTGTTTCAGTCCAGATATGGAGCATGAAGTAAGATGCCTGCTTGCATGATTTCGTAGAACACCACAAAGTATCTATTTTGTTTCTTTATTTTTCTTTGTTGATTAATTTAATCAAATAGGACATTATCTGTTGAGTATTATGTTTTTAGGAGATATCTATAATCCAATGGAGTCCAACTTCATTTGTTGAGTATTATGTTTTTAGGAGATATCTATAATCCAATGGAGTCCAACTGGTGCTGGTACAAGCAATACAAATCAACAATTGTTTCTGGCAAGGTATTCTATCTATTGGTACAAATCATATTTATAGTATTCTTTCTATCATAATTTTATTTCACATGTGGTGGTAGCACTAGATTTTAAGTTACATGTATATTATACATTAGTATCTAGATTAGGGTTGTATCATTGATCACATCTAAGCAATAAAGTTTCTATATTTTTCCAGACACCCCCTTCGTTCTTCATCATAATCTCCATGGTTCCACGATACCCCCCTTCCACGGCCCACAACTTCCTCCCCTTCATATAACTCACCAGCTTTCCCTCCCCTATCTCATATTTCGCAATACATTCCTTCCACACCTTACTTATTTCCCTTCCACTTCTTCAAAATATTTACTATGTCTATCAAGGTCTAGGTAGATTGGAAGAAATTACTAAATTTTTTTTTCCTTTTTAGGATATAAACTCTAGTCTCAATGACATTCATTGACTTTATTGCTCGCTAGTTCACAACCTTGGGCTTGTTAGGCTTGACTTACCTCTATTGTTTTTTTATAATACACTATTGTCAAAGGCGCACTTAAATCCCCAATGTATTTAAATTCTCATGATTTGAGTTTCAAGTATTTTTCTCAAGTTTATCAAAGAATTCTTGATGTTGAAAATGGAAGGTATGAACTTCAGCAAACGCTTCATGCTTTTATAGAGCGTGTGGCTGCTGTTTTCCCGGAGTAGGTGGAACAACACATTCAACAACTCTTTAACCAAATTTAAGCCCTCGAAGAAAAGGGTAGGACCCTTTCCCGAAGAAAAACCTTATTGTTAGGATGACCTATTGCATCAGCGGTGGAAACAAGAATCAGTGGACACTTTGAAGTTTTAAGAAGGTTTAAATAAGTGTATGTTGACACAATGTACTTTATTTAGTGGATATCTACTTAAATATGTTTCTTCATTTTATAAAATTACACTAAGTCAATTTTTCTTTTGGCTTATTGGTTATTATTTGGTTATGAACACCCTAAGAGCAAGGAAGGAAAGTATGATACCAAATAAATTCTTACATCACATGTCCAAATAAGTGAATAAATTCAAATATTATAATTCCAACACAATAATGAAAAATTGATATTGCTAATTTTAGAGATACCTAAGGTAGAATAAAAACTTGTAGGTAGAAACTTGTAATTTTCAAAAGGAGATTGGTTATATGCATGTAGACGCTTTAGAAAAAAATGATGAAAAGATATGCATGCAACTAATATTAAAAAACAAAAAGAAACTCAAGTAAAATATCTCAACTATTTATATTATAATTTCCATATAATAATCAAGTATGACTTGTTTGCAAACCAAATTATCACTTAGATGTTTTTGCTACATTTCAAGCAAGGAATTGACAATGTGGGCAAATCGAACACCGGTAACAAATTTTAGAAAAGCTCATCTACAATCTGCATTTCTACAAGGTAGAGTTTCTCGAATTATGAATTCTTGCCTCTATGTTACCAAGACCTTTTAAAGTTATTATTCAACCTCTTTAATCGACTATCAATCACACAAATATTTTTGCTTGCAAAACAAGTTACAACCCTACTACATTCCTTGTTGCAACAAACTTCAAAAATACTGTCATTGCCATTCTAAGAATTTACATTTTTTTCCTTCTTCACTGACCATATATTCATGTATCTATCAAATAAACCACTTTCCATGTCTTCACCATTCAGAGTAAATGCAACAGAGTAAACAATTTTCCTAGTTTAAAAATTGAAGAGAAGGTACTTAGTAAAAAATAAAACAATCACCAAGAGCAATAAAATTAATTTATTCTTAGTCCCCTCCCCTCAGATACCCACCCAATTAAAAGGAATATATATAGGTTATCGATAAGTCAATTGAATATGAGTAAACAAACCACATAATACTTGAGCCTGTATTTGATAGTTAAAAAGTATAATTTTATTAAGAGTCCCTATTTTTTCCTGTGTACAAAGTAGACATAATGAGATCACATCGCTTACCTATGTCCATTCAAGCTGTGAAGAAGACACCCCTGTTCAACATCTCATAACTTCATCATAGAGTCAAATGAAAAACTACAAAGTTAGGCAATAGAACAAAACAAATAACCTAAATGAAATAAAAGGTTAGGTGTAATACATAAAATTGGCACACAAAAAAAATTAATTTCCTAGATGGCTAAAGTGAAGTTGTATCTCTCCGGATCATATTACTCGTAGGGGGATTACGGGTGAGATTGAAATAATTTGATATACATAACATAGTAAACAATGGAAGCATTGAAGACTATTAGTGAAACATGTAAACATAACAAAGATAATTTGCATAAACCTTTGCATCTAAAATAACACAAAAGTTCGTAAATGAAAAGTTTACTAACTAAGACAATTGACATAAACAGTGCTCAGAGTATTTCTTATGCTGTTGTGTCCTCAAAGAATGATAGTAAAAGAAAAGTATTGAACCATTGTATGAAATGAATGACTTAAGGAAACCATTGAACAAATTTGTAACAAAAGCTCACACAGTAGACTATTCCAAAGTTCATTAGTAGTTCTCCACTTATCAATCTAATGAATATGAAAATTAGGATGATGATGATAGTGAAGAAGAAGATCATAAGAATGTTACTTTGCCAATATTTAAGGAACACAAAGTTAGCAAACAAAATGTTTTAGAAAAAATTAGATCTTGTTCAAGTTATGGAAGTGCCATCAAGTAGTAGTTAAAATAATACTGATAAAGAAAAATGAAAAAGGGGATAACGTGGAAGAAAGAAAAGAGAAACAAATAGTCATCTTCCTCCTCCTCCTCTTGTTGTCTCGGGTGGTGATAGTGATAGTGGTAGTGGTGGAACAAATATTAATGCAGCACAAGTTAAACTTACTCTTGTACTACTGCTGCTTATACCACTTGCTAACTCAGTAAGAATTTGAACTTCTTCCACATCAATATTTCTTCCTCAACCACCACCATCACTATCACCACTACAGACAACAAGAAGAGATGAAGTCAATGTTAGTCATCTCCCACTTCCATTCCGGAAGTTCAATTTTGAGATCCAAACCTCCAGGCCTTTGGTGTTCTACTTTCAATTTCTGGCAATTTGGGAACTTTGATACAAACTCAACAATGCCCTTCTTCATGCCTACCCACCAATATACCTCTCTCAAATCGCGGTACATCTTTTTGGAACCCGGATGAATGGAATATATGGAGTAATGAGCTTCCTCCATGATCCTCTCTTGGAGTCCATCCACGCAGATCCACACAACCTACCTTGATGTTTCAGCACACCATCTCTCCCTCAATCAAAAGACATTTTTCTTATGAACATTTGCCTTCACGTTAAGAAAAATTGGGTCTTGGACTTGCTTCTCTTTCACTTTTAACACTAGTGATGATTCAGGCCAATTATTTCCATTATTCATCCTTTTGTAGAATCCATAAACTCCCAGACATGCAAGTTTGTGCACAAATTTGTCTAACTCCCTCTTCTCTTCTTCAACATGGGTGGTACTCCCCATGGATAACCTGCTTAAAGAATCATCAAGACCTACTTGGGTGGTAAACAATGCTCATGTCATAATCCTTGAGTAAATCTAACCACTTTCTCTATTGAGATTGAGCTCTTTTTGGGTGAACACATATTGTAACCTCTTATTGTAAGTCAATATGTAAACATAAACGCAATAAAAGTACGAATGCCATAATTTTAAGGCAAAAACTACAACAACCAACTCTAAGTCATGGGTTGAAAACTTCTTCTCATGAACCTTCAATATTCTGGAGGTGTAACCTATAACCATGCCATTCTGCATTAGACACAATCCAAACTAACTCTTGATGCATTAAAGTACACCACCAAAGCTCGAGTCCCTCTTGTAAGGTCAAAATCAGAGCAGTAGTCAACCTCTTTTTCAACTCCTGAAAGCTTTTCTCACAAAGTTCATACCATTGAAACTTAACTGTTTACTGAGTCAGCTTGGTCAAAGGAGAGGATATAGATGAAAAACGCTCAACAAATCTTTTGTAGTATCCAACCATACCCAAGAAACTCCTTATATATTTTGAAGATGTGGGTCTAGGAAAACTCTGAACTGCTTCTATCTTTTGGGTATCAACTCTAATCCTATCACCAGAAATTATGTGGTCCAAGAAAGTCAGATACTTAAGCCAAAACTAACTATTGGAGAATTTGGCATATAATTCGTTATCTTTAAAAGTCTTAAGAATAATCCTGAGGTGACTAGCATGATCTTTTTCATTTCTTTGAATAGATTAGTTTGTCATCATGAAGATAATAACAAACATATCTAAATAAGGTTTGCAGACTACATTAATAAGATATATGAATGTTGCAGGCGCATTGGTGAAACCAAATTACATGACCAAAAACTCATAATGCCCATATGTAGTTCTGAAGTTGTCTTTGTAATATCATATTACTTAACTTTTAACTGATGGTAGCATGATCTAAGATAAATTTTTGAGGAGTAGGAAGCACCCTAAAGCTGGTCAAAAAGGTCATCTATAGTTGAAAGAGGATACTTATTATAGATAGTAACCTTAATTGGCGGTAGTCTATACACATGCTAAGGGGACCATCCTTCTATCTGACGAATAACACTGGTGTGCCCTAAGGTAAGACACATGGTCAGAGATAACACTTATCTAACAAATCTTTCAATTGTTCTTTCAACTCTTTTAAATCCACTGGTTCCATTCTATATGGCGGAATAGAGATAGGATGAATATGTGGAAGACGATCTATACCTAAATTTATCTCTCTCAAGAACGAATTTGGGAAGATCTTCTAGAAAGACTTGTGGAAATTCTTTCAATACTAGAACTGACTGAATAGGGGGTATCTCAACACTAGAGTCATTAACTCAGACAAAGTGATAGACACAACCCTTGGAAACTAACTTCATCGCCTTAATATACAAAATGAATCAACCCTTAGGCACTGCTGAACTGCTTTTCCACTCTGACACTAGATCATTTGGAAACATAAACTTGACTACTCAAGTTCTACAATCAACTGAGCCATAACAGGCATGAATCTAGTCTATACCATGAATGATATTGAAATCTATGATATATAACTCAACTAAATCAGCCATGGTGTTCTTGTAATTGATGGAAATAGGACATTTACGTTATACCATTTCCGCTAGAATAGATTCTCAAACAGGGGTAGAAACACTTAATGGTTCACTAAGTTGCTTGGGAATAATATCAAAGTTCATGGCAACATATGGAGTTATAAAAATAAACTCACTCTTGGGTCTAGCAATGCATAAATATTAAAGTCAAAGACTTGAATCATACTAGTGACAATGTCTTGTGAATTCTCATGTTCTTTACAATTGTTAAGAGCATAGAAACGGTTTGTTCCTCCACCATCACCAAAATTAGCTCCCATAGGTGCGACCCTCTTTGTGGAGAAATTGATGAAGACTTAGCTATATTGCCCCTATTACTACCGACTTGCTTGTTCTTTGGACACTCCCTCATGAAAGTCTGATCTGACCACACTTGAAGCAACCCATGGAGCCCTCACGACAACCACCAAAGTGATTTCTACCACACTTTGAGTAGGCAGGAGGGTTACTACCTCCATGTGCCACACAACCCTATGAATATGCACGCTTAGCTCAGGAGTGTTGACCATGATGTTCAACTCTCTCTGTCTCTCTAGGCGCAGTACACTAGCTGATGAGGTGCATGCCTCTTTTGTTTCTGAAACGATGGCCGATCTGAACAACTTTCTACGGCCCAAACTTATTCCATGTCTTGGCTTTCTTGTTCCTACACTTCTCTCGATCCCTCAGCTTTCCTCCTCTACCTGTTGTACATAGATCATCAACCTTTAAATGTCCATGTATCCGATAAGCATTGCAATCTTACCCTCTTTG